GGCGAGCTTGCAAGGTCAGACACGTAAGTTTTTTTTATCTTTTTCTATTATTCAAACTAAAAGAGTTATTTTACAGAATAAGGGACTATCTAAAAATAACAGAGTTGACCTACAGAATAAGAGACTGTCTAAGAATAACAGAGTAGTTCAAACAGCAGTTTCAAACAACAGCTTTCCAAAGGAGAAATTACTATGCTTCACCGTCACCCGAGGTGCAGCGCGAAGGTCATTGCCTGCAGCTCAAGGGGCCTCCCTAACATGGTGACTATCACTGGGCTTTGATATCAACCTCGCCCGTCCGGGGCCACTGCTGCTGACGCCTGCTCAGATGTGTTGTCATTGCTGTTTGTTTGTTTATTTATTTGAATCCTCACTCGAGGTATTTTTCCATTGATTTTTTAGAGAAAGAGGAAGAGAGAGGGAAAGACAGAGAGAAACATCGAAGTGAGAGAAACACAGCGATTGCTTGCAGCCTGCATGAGCCCCAACCAGGGCCCGGGTTGGGGTGGAGCCTACAACCAAGTACATGCCCTTCACCGGAATCGAACCCAGGACACTTCGGTCTGCAGGCCGACGCTCTATGCACTGAGACATGCCGGCCAGTGTCATTGATGTTTGCATGGTCATTTCCTCTGGGTGGTGTGTGAGCGACCATTTCTGGGGGAAGGGAGAAGAAGTGGTTAGGACACCCGGCTGCTGTCAAACAGACCTTGAGGACTCCATGGTCCGCACTGAGCGCAGCCTGCTGGGAAGCAGGCAGAGAGGGTGCCTGATGAGAAACAGAGAAAGCCTGGTGGTCAGTGAGGATTGGATGCTGCCATGTGTTCCGCACCCGGCAACAGAACCCTGCTGGCCAGGACAATGGGGGTGGAATGTGGCCGTGGACTGGAGGCTGAGGAGAGGGCTGGGAGTCGCGTGCCAGGCCCTTGTGTGGCTGAGGCCCGTGTGGCCGGGTCCCACGGTGTGGCCGGTCCCACATAGCCAGGAGCCGGCCGGAGGACCCCCAGAGGAGCCGCGTGTGAGTTGGCAGCGCTGCCTGACCTGCTAGTCGCCCTTCCCAGACACCCACTCCCTCAGAGACACATCCCTGGTCAGTGGGGCCCAGCCTGTTTGTTTTATTTCGTGGTGGTAAAGTGGGTATAACAAAACAATTATCATGTCACTGTCAGGGTCACCGAATGAGGAACACACAAGGCCAAAAGGGGTGAGGGATCATGAATGTGTTGGGTCACCTGGAGACCAGATGGGCTGAGCCCCAAATGGCACCAGCCCCAGTGATGGGCAGTCAGAGGGTTAAAGGACTCTAGGCTTTAAAGGGTCCGTGTCCTGGGACAGTCCAGAGGAGAAAGATAATGGTCTTACCAGTGGGATGTGGTCTTACAAGCGGGATGTGGTCTTACCAGTGGGATGTGGTCTTACCAGTGGGATGTGGTCTAAGTGGGAGAGAAGGCCTGTTGTGAAGTAGCCTAAAGGGCAGGTCCCAGGGGAGGGGTATCAACCAATGATTTGATGAGACCTACCAGTCACCTTTTTTAAGCGTACAGTGCAGTGTCACTAGGGACCTTCACAATATTGTGCTACCATCACCACCATCATCTCCAGAACTTTTTCACCTCCCCAAACGGAAACTCTGTGCCATTGAACACTACACCCCCTCTGCTCCCCAGCCCCAGGCTCCCACTGTGGTTTTCTCTTGCTGAGTGTGGCTGCTCTAGGGAACACATAGAGCTGAAAAGTTGCATGTTTGTCTTTGTGTAGCTGGCTCATTTCACTCGGTAAAATGTCTTTTTTAAATTTTAATTAAATCTTTATTGTTCAGATTACAGTTGTTCCTCTTTTTTCCCCCCATAGCTCCCCTCCACCCG